TCAAATAAAGTTCAACTCTATATTTTTATTTACCCATCATTTCAATCCTACCCAATTTTATACCTGCTGTCTCTGCCTATGCACTTAGAATATACATCTAAATTAAAGCACCTCAAAACACCAGTAAAGTTTCTAAACAGTCACACTCTCACACATGCACGAACACACACACTCACTCACAAGCTCTCATTTATTCTCATTTTTATTCTTGTCTCTCGTGATCTCGTGCTTTTTCTCACTCCAGAATTGTTTCTAGGAGTTGGAGAAAGAGTAGAGTAGCACCTAGTTTTTCCAAGCCTTCACCTACCAGTTCACAAAAGCACAAGGATGAAGAATTAGAAAAGTAGAGGAAGAAGACAAGAGCATGATGATAGGGGAGAGAAGAGAAAGAATAGTAGAGAAAGAAAACCAGAAAAATCAAGCTTCTTATTGTGAGTAGGGAGTTAATTGTAAATGATGATACTTTTACCCTAACAAGGACAAGGAGAATGGCTCCCAGATTTTATAGCAGGGTGATTCTCTTGCAAAGACTAACTGCTTTGGGCTTGTTGACTTGTGGAGATGCAGAAAAAAGGAAGTACATTCACGTCTCCATTCTGTAATAAATGCCAGTGACTCATAGTTCTTGAATAGTTTAGTTTCTTGTAGGTAGACTTAAGTTTTGTATAGGTCTTTCCCATTGACCAACTCTCATATAAAATGAAATGAGGAGTACCTTTTTGGGAAAAGAGTTGATTACTTAGTGAATGCAGATGCCTTCTGTGGTGATTAATTTTATGTGTCAAGTTAATTGGGCCCTGGTGTATTTGGTCAAACATTATTCTGGATGTTTCTGGAAGGGTGTTTTTGGATGAGACTTAACATTTAAATTGGTAGATCGACAAGCAATCTGTGACAAATGAGGCAAGAATATATAATGAAGAAAAAAAGAGTCTCTTCAATAAATGCTGCGGGGAAAACTGGACAGCTACATGCAAAGGAATGAAACTGGACCACTTTCTACCACCATACATACACAGGTAGACACACACACACGCACACACACATAACTTAAAATGGTTTAAAGACTAAATGTGGGACCTGAAACCATAAAACCCCTAGAAGAGAACACAGGCAGTAATTTTTTTGACATTGGCAGCAGCAAAATTTTTCTAGATACGATTCCTAAAAAGCAAAAGCAAAAATAAACTATTGGGACTATATCAAATAAAAAGCTTTTACACAGCAAAGGAAACCATCAAACGGGAACTGTCAACAAAAGAGGCAACCTACTGAATGGGAGAAGAGATTTGCAAATGATATATCCATTAAGGGGTTAATATTTAAAAGATACAAAGCACTCATACAACTCAACACCAAAAAACAATCACATTAAAAAATGGGCTGCAAATGACATATCAGATAAAGGGTTAGTATCTAAAAATCTATAAAGAACTTATCAAACTTGGGGCACCTGGGTGGCTCAGTCGTTAAGCATCTGCCTTTGGCTCAGGTCATGATCCCAGGGTCCTGGGATCGAGTCCCACATCGGGCTCCCTGCTCGGCGGGAAGCCTGCTTCTCCCTTTCCCACTCCCCCTGCTTGTGTTACCTCTCTCGCTGTCTCTCTCTCTGTCAAATAAATAAAGAAAATGTTAAAAAAAAAAAAAGAACTTATCAAACTCAACAACCAAAAAACAAATAATCCAGTTAAGAAATGGGCCAAAGACATGAATAGACATTTTTCCAAAGAAGACGCACAGATGGCTAACAGACACATGAAAAGATGCTCAGCATCACTCATCATCAGAGCAATACAAATCAAAACCACAATGAGATACCACCTCAGACTTATCAGAATGACTAAAATTAACAAGTCAGGAAAAAATAGATGCTGGTGAGGCTGCAGAAATACCATATGATCCAGTAATTCTACTACTGGGTATTTACCCAAAGAAAACAAAAAAAACTAATTTGAAAGATATCTGCACCCCTATGTTTATTGCAACATTATTTATAATAGCCAAGATATGGATGCAACCTAAGTGCCCAATGATAGATGAATGGATAAAAAAGATGTTTTATATATATATATGTATAAAAAAATTACTCAGCCATAAAAAAAAGAATGAGATACTGCCATTTGCAACAACTTGGATGGACTTAGAGGATATTAAGCTAAGTGAAATAAGTCAGACTGAGAAAGACAAATACCATATGATTTCACTCATATGTGGAACCTAAAAAACAAAACAAATGAAAAAACAAAGAGCAGAATCAGACATATAAATAGAGAACAAACATGGTTGCCAGAGGAAGGGTGGTGGGTGGATGGGCAAAACGGATGAAGGGGAGTGGGAGATACAGGTTTCCAGTTATGGAATGAATAAGCCACGGAAATAAAAGGCACAGCCTAGGGAATACAGTAAATGATATTGTAATCGTGTTGTATGGTGACAGATGGTAGGTACACTTGTCGTGAGCACAGTATAACATATGGAGATGTTGAATCACTCTGTTGTACACCTGAAACTAGTGTAAGTAACACTGTGTGTCAACTATACTCAAATAAAAAACTTTTTAAATGACACTAATGGACAATAAAATTAAATAGAACACATATAATACTTTTTGTTTGCTTATTTATTTTTGAATATATTCATCTAATATCTGGTTTAATATAAAACAATGATATTTCCCCCAAAAAATTTTTAAAGATTTTTTATTATTCAGTAACCTGTACACCCAATGTGGGGCTTGAACTCACAACCCCGAGATCAAGAGTTGCACGTTCCTCTCATCGAGCCAGCCAGGCACACCAACCCCCTCAAAATTTAATTAAAAAAATTTGATTGAGTAAAGCAGACTGCCCTCTATAATGTGAGTAGTTTCATCCAGTCACTTGAAAGCCTGAAGAGAAAAAAAGGCTAACCTCTCCTGTGCAAAAGGGAGTTCTCCAGCGCAGACTTCAGGATTCATCTGCAACACTGACTCTTCCTGGTTTCTCCAGCAGACCGTGTTTGGCTTGAACTGTAACTCTTTCCTGAACCTCCGGCCTGCCAGCCTCCTGCATCAGATTTTGCGTTTGTCAAGTGTGGGCATGTGCACATACACACGGTTCTGTTTCTCTGGAGAACCTTGACAAATACAGCATTCTCTTGGCCGACAAACAAAACTGAGACGCAGCAAACGTGTTCGCGCCTTTCTCCAGTCAGCACCGTAACTGAGAAGGTGAGAGTCCAAGATCTGGGGTCAGTGGCCTGGTTCAGGTGTGAGCTCTGTTCTCTCTTAGCCCTCTGTCCTGGAGAGTTCATCTAAACTTGAGAAACGATTGCCCAGGAGACAAGAACATTGCCAACCCCTAGTATATTCGTTTTATGTGACCGCTGTAACAAATTACCACACACTCAGTGCTTAAAACAACATAAATTTATTCCCTTACAGTTCTGGGGGTCAGAAGTTTCAAATCAAGATGTCAGCAGGACTTCTGGAGGCTTCAGGGGAGGATGTTCTTGCCTTTTTCAGCTCCTAGAGGCTGCTTACATTCTTTGGATGACAACGCCTGCCTCGTAGCACTCCAATCTCTTGCTTCCATTGCCACATCCCTGCTATTCTTCTGATCTCCTGCTTCTCTTACAAGGACCCACACAATTACACTGGGCCCGCCCAGGTAATCCAGGATAATCCCCCCATACAATACCCTTAGTTTAATCACGTCTGCAAAGTTTTCTTCTGACATCTAAGGTTAACATTCACTGGGTTCTGGGATTGGGCCGTGGCTATCTTTGGGGTGCGAGGTAAGTCATTATTTGGCCCACCACACCTGGATACCAGAGGTCACTGGTTACAGAGGGAAGGTGAGATAGGGGAGGGGTTCTGAGATTTCAGTGTTGCAACTTGAAATTTGGTCTTTTTGGAAAAGTACTCAATTATTTGGTGAATGCAGAAAGTTGCAACAAAGAAATGCTTTCTTGGCTGCTAAAGAGACAAATATGTGTTGGTACTGTATTTTTCTTTAACAGATGAAAATTCTCCTAGAGACATCACAAAGATTCTTCCATCTTAAAAAAGAAATATAAACATGTTTTTTAAAGTATAGTATTCAGATCTATGTACACAAATCTGTGGGGACTCTTCCCCTGGCAGCTTTACCAAGTACTTTGTTCAGTCTCCTTTAAGTTACCTTTAGCAGGAATTCAAACATTGTTTGAAATAAAGGTCTTATTTATTTATTTGTCAGGTGGAGGGGTAGAGGAAGGGAGTGCATGCACGACCAGGGCGGGGGGCAGAGGGAAAAGGAGACTCCCCGCTGAGCAAAGAACCCGATGTGGGGACTCTAGCCCTGGACTCTGGGATCATGACCTGAGCTGAAGGCAGACGCTTAACTGACTGAGCCACCCAGGCATCCCAAGAATTCTAACATTTTAAGATGGACCTTGAAAAGCTCCCTCAACACATGTAATTCAGGTATCATAAATACATGTCATCATTTGCTTTCCAGAATATGTCATCCCAATATAAGCTTGAGAATTGTTTTGTGCCCTTAAATGATGAATACAGCTTTCGAGAGAATCAGTAACTTTCATTGCTTCCCTCTTGGCTACATGAATAACTCCAGGGAAACCTCTGGCCTTTCTTTTTGGTGTATTGCTGTATTGTGGGTGTTCAGGGCACTCCACAATCTTTGCTTGGTATATTCTTAGCAAAGAAAACTTAGTTTTGAATCCATAGAAAAAAGAGAACATTGAATAAATCAGTTCTCAAAAATCATCCTGATTGCTCAATTTGATGCTCAACAATTGTTAGGGAGTCTATAATTTCGACCAGGCAATGAAGACTCATGGTCTGAGCCTGATTGAGGTTAAAAGGATTCACCTAATCTTGGGGACCCCAGGCTTACTTTTGTCTAATGATGGCACTCTCTCCTAGGCATTCACCTACCTTCAGGCACAAGGGCTTCAAATAAATACCCAAGACCTGGTTTAGAAATCAAGGATGATTTATCTTCCCCATTCCAAGGACATTTTACTCTACATAACTATGCCTTTTCCTCCTCCTCCTCTTCCTCCCTGTCTTCCTCCTCGTCTTCACTCTGAATCTCTCATTATCTATCTATCTGGGATTGTACTTGGTCAGTCAATCCAGTTCTCCTTGATGAAATATCCCAGTCATTTCAAGCCTTGTCAGAAATCTTTGGCTCTGTTAGTTACTTCATTGTCCAATTCTGTGTTTTCTGCTTTTCTTCTTAAAACTTGACTTTACTGCTGGATGAAGAGCATTTTCCTGTCTTTCAGCATCAAATGAACTGCCATCATGGAAAAGGAGGCCAACCATGTCACCGCTCCTGTCACTGTGTAGGCGAGACCTAAGAAAAGGCTACTGCCTCCACTCCATGTCAAGGTGGAAAGAACAACTGATTTTTCTCCTCTGAACCTGGTTACTGGAAAATCTAAGACAAGAAGACCTGTTAAGGATCTCTCTCAACACTTCTCAGCTCTACATTGTATATCTTAAATATATTAGGTTGAACCATATAAAATTGTTGTGTTTGTAGGTTTAAAAAAATGGTCAAATGTTCAACTTCATATTGTCTAATCTTTACCAGTGTTGTATCTTGCTGGAATGAAATTAAGTAAAAATAAGCCTTCCCTCTACATAGTTGTAATCTATAAAAGAGATACTGACACAAATAGATCAGACTGACTTACAGACAACTAAAAAAATGGACAAATATATTTAATTTCCTTTGGCAGACCCCAGGAAATGAAAAGAATACAGATGTGCTTTACAGCAAACCTAAATTTCTGTTTGTGAATCAGGAGGCCCAGGGTAGGCTAAAGTCCTTCATAGACTAAGCTTTCAATTTCTACCTCAGAGAAAATTCTTCAAGACTAGTGAAGAAGAAAAAATAACGAGATAGATGGCAAAACATTTTTTGGTGGGAAAGCTAAAGGTGGTGCATTCATCTGGGTTTTGAAAAGGCAAACAACCCTCACTGCTGGGGAGAATATACTTGAAGTGGGTTTGCTATCGTTAGCATTTCAATGATGTCATTTTGATTATGCATGTGGCCTGAGGTTTTTAAACATCTGGTGCCTTTTGTAAACCAAACTAATAAACAAATAAAGGCTTCTCATAGCAACGGCTCAGGACAGCGGCATTTCCCAGCAAAGCTCTTAAAAGGCCTCGAATCACTTGGCAACATGCGATTTAAAGGCACAAGCAAACTGGTTAGGAAACAAGTTCTGTCTCTTTCTTTTCCATCAAAATTCCTCACTGTCACCGGGTCCCTGCGTGCCACCTTGACCCGCGGCCTCTTTTCTCTTCCCTCAGTTCCATTGAGAAGGCCTTTTCCTCATACACAGAACATATTTTCCCCCTTAGGAGTGGTAGGTGTTTGCTGCAGCTCAGATTTAGTCCTTCTCCTGGCACGGCAGCCAGGCCTGAGGCAGGCTGGATACTACTCACACGGGACTCAGCTCTGGTAGTGCAAGTATAGGACTGAAGCTCAGGATCTAGGTTCTGCCTGCAAGATTTAGACTCGAGAGTCATCAACATTAAAATATGACTGTGAGTGAAGCCACCCAAGGAGAGCTTGACTCCAGTGGAGAAACAGAGTGTCTCCCTTGTTTGGAACATGGACTCCCTTATGCTTCCCTCAACTCAAAACTCCCTGTCATGCATTGTGAGGACAGCAGTACATGATAGGTTTTTTTTCTTCCTGTTTTGTGATTGCAACTCTAACTGCTTTACTGGTAAGGGAGTCATAGACAAAGTTGGGATCAGAAAGTCTAATTTGGGAGACCATTGTCAAGCAACTTTCAATCTCAAATTTTTGGGGGGCTTGCTGAAATCCTATTAAAAAGGTAATATTCTATGGTTTACTCTTTGATCTGTATGTATAATGCTGCATAAGAGAATAAAGTTTGTGGCTTTCATTTGTATTTAGGGAGAAATGAAAATGAACGAACTGAAGGCAAACTGTACTGATCAGTGAACCAAAAGGAGGCAACAAGGTGAGAAGTAGAGATGGTGTCTCATCAGTGGGGGCATTTCTGGCTGAGGAATATCCCCCTGTCAGAATGGAGATGTCCACACTCTAGGATAGAAAAGAAAAGATGGAGCAGGGAACTGCAGCACACACAGTCATTCACTTATTCTAAAGTATTTCTCATTCAAGCTCCCTGAGAGGTAAAGAAGAAACTAAGGAGGTAGACAGTTTTGTGGTAAGATCTTCTGGCCTGCTGGAGGGGTCCCACAAACAACTCCTAGTCAGGAGCCCTGAGATTGTGTATAAATATATAATTTTTTAAAGATAGTGTTTGGAGTCATTTTGAAGTTAAATCTTTTTGTTTTTAGGTCAAGAGTTACATTTTTATTTTTGAATTAAGTGAAAAAAATCAGAATCCCACATTAAAGCATGTGTCTCCTACCTTGGACCTTATGCCCACAACCAAGGCACTGACTCTTTTTTTTTTTTTTTTTTTATTCATTTGAGAGAGAGAGAATGAGAGAGGGGAGGGTCAGAGGGAGAGGCAGACTCCCTGCCGAGCAGGGAGCCCGATGGGGGACTCGATCCCGGGACTCCAGGATCATGACCTGGGCCGAAGGCAGTCGCTTAACCAACTGAGCCACCCAGGCGCCCCACCAAGGCACTGACTCCTACTAGCTGGCTCGGTATCAAAGAGAGGGAAGAACACAGCGTCTTCAGAGCAGAGCTTATAGTGCACCTCACACGGGTTGGATGGACTGCACCTGCATCTTGAGTCCAGGGCTCCCTTGGTCTATACTTTTGTTTAGAATGAAAGATTCTACAGTGTCTCTCAGTTTTCATTATTTTTAGCACATATTCTAAATTTACTACTTATTGAATGACTCTCTCTTATACCCCTGGTCCTCCACCTCATCCCATCCGTCTCTGGTACACATCTCTAGGCCCACTGGTATTTAATCTTTCTTGGGGGATAGAAATAGTCCTTCCTTATGTATCTATCCCTACTTACCTGATATTGCTATTAACTCTTATTCCTAAAAAATAAATAAATAAATAAAGTACACATTTGATTACATAAATTGGAGACAAACTGCTCTCTGGTGACAAGTGACAGTATTACCTATAAGAGAACTATGTATTTCTTCTTTATATATACAGATTAAATTATAGAATAGAAAAGTACAAAATGAAATAATTCAACAACTAGTACCCAGATGGATGCTGATTTTCCTTCATCCTCAGGAAGAAGAGCAGTATAAAAGGATACTATAGGTAATGTTGAAACTATAGTTACCAGCAGGCAAGCCTTCAGTAAAGTACTGTATTCGATTGAGTCGACGGTACAGTTTTTTGAAAGTGGGAAAGGCGGCTGTCCGCATCCACACAATGAAGTCATCATTGAGGAAGCCATTGTTTCCTGGATCCTCTTCATCCAGTTCATAGGCAGGCTTAGCCCAGGATGGGGGCTTTGTGGTCCCTGTGGGAAGAAAATCATTGACATGGTTGAGAGAAATCATCTACACCCTTCAGTTTTCCTTAGACTAGAGAGAATGAAATAACTTCGGCATTCTTGAGAAAAGAGAAATAAAAATTAAGACTTTAAAAAAAGTGTGTGTGTACAAGCTACCTAAGTATGCAACCATTAAAAATAATGGATTATAAAAACTCTAAGGCAATGTGGGGGAAATAATGATGATTTGTCATAGGGTTAAAAAAGAACAGAATATCAAATTGTATGTATATTATGTTTTCAACTATATTAAATGCATATAAAGCACTGAAAAAATAGGGCAAAAGGGTAATAGTGGTTGTATTCAGGGATAGCATCATAGGGACTGTCTTCATTTTCTTTAGCTTCACCAGTAATTTTAAAGACAGGAAATTAAAACAAGATATGATCATTTCATCTAAAACTTGGGTAATAGGTAAAGAAAAAAGGTGACAGCAATTGATGATGCAGTGGAACTAGGAACTCTTGTGCAGAGCAGATAGATGTGTGGATTAATAATATCACTGGCAATCTAGGAAAATGCATCAAAAGCTTTAATATATTTTGCATATATTTTGGCCTAGAAATTCCACTTCTAGAAATTTATTCTAAGGAAATAATCATGTATGTGCATGAAGATTATGTTAAATATTCTCTGCAGCAATGTGCTTAAGAGCTCAAAGTTGGAAGTAAGGAGGAGGAACTGATAAAGGAGAAGAGGCAGACAGCAGAGGTGTTATAAGCCTGTTTTATTTATTTTTATTTATTTATTTTTTTATTATGTTATGTTAATCACCATACATTACATCATTAGTTTTTGATGTAGTGTTCCATGATTCATTGTTTGCACATAACACCCAGTGCTCCATGCAGAACGTGCCCTCTTTAATACCCATAAGCCTGTTTTAAAGATAGGAGGCCTCGCAGGTTTGGGTGTTGTAGGGATGTTGGAAGCACAGGATGGAAGGCCAGTGCCAGGGAAGGAGTCTATTGAGTTTACTCTCGTTCCCATACTTCCCACTTTAGCTCGGTGTGCTTGTCTGTCTCTTCCACTATACAGCATACTCTTCAGTACAGTGTTTTTTTTCCACTGGCATTTAGTCTAGTGCCTGACACATGGTAGGCATTCAATAAATGCTTGCTAAAGAAATGAGTGATTCCAATGAAAGCTGACAGAAGATAATAAAATCCATATTGAATTTTAAAGAACGAGTCAGTAAGAGAAAATTGTTTAATGAACTTTTTCGTTCTAGACAATTGTTTCTACTATTTGTAGAATCCAAATGCAAAAGAGGAAACCACTATTTCTCAACTCAATTGACTAAACTATTCTCTTTTAAAAGAAACCCGTCCTATTTTCTAAGCATGGTACTTGTAAAAGCAAGTGCTAAGTTTGGTTGGATTAATCCATTGAAGTATGTTTGTACACTTAAACTTCGTCTGGGAAAAAATCCTCTGCTGAAGAAACTTCCTCTGCAAATATTGTGGAGCTCACCTATTTTGGCCCCTCCCAAAGTTTCAATCACTGTTGCTAGAAGAATTTTGATGAAAATTGAAATTGCCTTTGGTACCTCCACTGTGGACCTCACACTCTCATGAGCTCATGCCCCAAGACAACAGGTCCTATAGGACACTGACATCCTAATCACTCAGGGAGCTTGTTAAAAATGTAAGTTTAAGCATGCCTTTCCCTACCAAGCCCTGATCCCACTTTATCCCATTTCCAGAGAGTATGAGATGTGTGATCTAAGAGGCACCAACTTCTTCCTTTTCCAAGTTGGGTCATTTGTATTTATCCATTCATTCAACAATAAGCATTTCTTGATTGCTCACTATGTATCAAGCACCAGGGATACAAAACCTCCTAATTTCCTCAAGTTATGTGGCAAGAGAAAACAATAGAATGTTGCCAACTTCGTTTCAAAAACTAGGGATTCAATCATAGGTACAGTGACCATACATGCCAGTTTGTTTAAGATAGTCCCAGCTTATGTCTGTTGTCTGTTATCCCATCTGACTTAGCATTTATCCCAAACAAATAATGTACATATAATTTCACCCTTCCACCTTCCAGCCATGGTCTTAGCTAGTAGTGTGTGAAATACCCATGTGCAGTGAATGGAATGCTTACTTTAACATGTGATTAATGAAGGATAACCAGAGATCCTTTCAATCAAAACACAACATATTCCTGTGACCCCTACCAGCTGTTTGACACTCCAGCCAGTTAAGACATAGCCTCTGTGTTGGCCTGTGAGATGCATGAAGCTGCCAGCCCACTAGTCAGTGGGATCAGTGGGAAACGTGGGAAATAACAGGTTATGTTATACATACTTAACATAGTGTGGGAAATAGATGCTGAACAGTTTTGCTGAGTGTAGGTTTGAACTCTGTGGTTTTATTATTTATTATATGGCACAAATATATAACTATTTTATTGTTTGGTGTCAGTTTTTATTTGCTAGTAAGTCCTTTAAGCTGTAAAGAGCTAAAAAATTGAACATGTATGTTTAATGTAAAATTAAGTACAGTTTCTTGAGAAAGTTGATGAATGTGAAATTTGCAGTGTTGGTTGACATTTACCACATAAGGGAACCATTGTGATGTCAATGACCAACTGAAAATTAAAAGACATAAATCTGCTGAAGAACATCAGAATCTACTTCAGAAGTTTGTGGTTATTTTTAAGAGTATATCCAAAGACAATGCTTTACCTCAGGTAGATACAGAAGGTGCATTTATATGTCATTATGTGAGCATGACTTTTCATTTAGATCAAGTGAGCTTCCTTCTAGTTTCAATTTTTTATTAGACTTTTTTTTTTTTGGTAAACAAAGGAAAGCTTTGTGTTGCTTCCATTAGTACAAAAAGAACTTTGTATACAGTTAAATGAGGCCAGTTTCACATCAGTGTCTTCAAATGCTTCAAAACAGAAAATCAGTTAATTATAATAATGGCTTGAATTTTTTGGTTTGACTTTTCATGGAATCAAAGCAAAGCTTTTTGATAGTCAATCTTGAAAGATAAAAACTTCAACATTATAATAAATATTACTATAAATTCAGCTAAAAAATAAAAAATCAAGTGTAAGTTTTTAGTTTTGTAGTGATAGCATAAATACAAATTTGGTGGAGCACAACATCAGAATAAAGATAATGTTCTTTTTTTTTTTTTAAAGACTTTATTTATTTATTTGACAGAGAGAGACACAGTGAGAGAGGGAACACAAGCAGGGGGCACCGGAGAGGGAGAAGCAGCCTTCCTGCAGAGCAGGGAGCCCATTGTGGGGCTCAGTCCCAGAACCCTGGGATCTTGACCTGAGCCGAAGGCAGATGCTTAATGACTGAGCCACCCAGGTGCCCCAAAGATAATGTTCTTAATAAATTGAGAAATTTACAGATCAATGTACTTAAAATTGGTTGTGGTACACACATAATTTATAAATATATCCAAACAAGCTACAATATTTTACTAATCAAAAGAAGAGCTGTAGTTGTGCAAATTTAAATATTTTTGTATATTTATAGTTAAAGAAACTGAACTGTAAAATTTTTACAATAATATGGATGATTAATAAAAGAAATACTTTAGGATGGTAGTATACGTGGTCTGTCTTTGCTATGCATCATCCACCAGAATTTTAGAAATGTTTGAGCTTTTGAAGAACTATTTTGTATATCAAATGATGCACCCTACAATGATCCCAAACTTTTTTGGTAAATGAGCCTCTAACTTTTGGTTAAATTTTAGTCAAAATAGTTTTAAAATTTTATTGTATTTATTTATTTATTTATTTATTTATTTATTTATTTATTTATTTTTAAGATTTATTTATTTGACAGAGAGAGACACAGCAAGAGAGGGAACACAAGCAGGGGGAGTGGGAGAGGGAGAAGCAGGCTTCCCGCTGAGCAGGGACCCCGATGCAGGGCTCAATCCCAGGACCCTGGGATCATGACCTGAGCCGAAGGCAGATGCTTAACGACTGAGCCACCCAGGCGCCCCTAGTTTTAAAATTTTAAACAAAGTATCCAAAATATGGAATGCCAAAAAACTTTAGTTTTTGATTTAGTGAATTGTAATTATTGAAAGCCAATCTTGAAAACAAGAAGATATTAAAATTTACCCCTAGGAAAACAAGGGAATAATTGAACATATTATATAATGAGAGTTCAAAATGTGGACAAATTTAATTTTTAAATTCTACAATTGTACTTTAGAATATTTCAATTTAGGTAAAAACTTTTTTGATGGAGCTCCTATTTTTAACTGGATAAAATTTTTTCTGGGGTGCCTGGGTGGCTCAGTCTGTTAAGTGTCTGTCTTTGGCTCAGGTCATGACCTCAGGGTGCTGGGATCGAGTCCATCAGGCTCTCTACTCAGTGAGGAGTCTGCTTCTTCCTCTCCTTCTGACCCTCACCCCTGCTCGTTCTCTCTCTCAAATAAACAAATAAAATCTTAAAAAAAATTTTTTTCTCTCCCAGAATTAAATGATATCAAGAAGTTTTAAGATTTTGTAGCATCTAAATATAGGAATACACTTAGAAGGATCAGAGATAGAAAAAAATGTGAAATAAAAAGACAGTGCCTATGAAAATATTTAGGTTATAATACTAGCATATTTCAATACAAAAAGATTGAAAATGAAAATATCCTCCATTTAGTAAAATTGGCTATGAGCATAATAGGTACCTCATCATCTACAGATATCTTCTCAAATAAAAAATAATATTAGGTTAAAAGAGAAGAATCAATTAAAGGTGCCAACAGTGTCAAATTGATTAACCATAAAGTTCAACTTCAAAAAAGACTGCAAATAATTTTGTGAAAAAAATATTTTAATAAAATATTTTTAAAAATAATAAAAAGAACAAATTCATTAGAAAAATATAGGGGCATGCAATGAAGACAGATATGGCCAAGAAACTGATTAAATTTTGTGACTCTATATCCAGAATAATTATTCTGCTTATGTTATCTTTTAATGTTTAAATAATAAGGTAGTTTTTTTAGTTGGCTTAATATACACCGATATGTTATTTTAATTTTTGAAAGAGTTGCCTTTTAAAATAATTTGTAATGGAATTATTTTATAGGTCCACCAGTATGGTAATGTCAATTTATTGATCAATGAATACAAATTTCAAATAAATATTTAACTTTAGTTATTCTAGTGCCCCCTTACACTCTCAAAAGTGCACCACCTTGGACAATAAATTACACGGTCACCCTAATTATAAATGAAGCAACAAGTTTCTTAAAACACTATCTTTTTCCTAATGTAAACTGAAAGGAACCAGGGCATCAATCATTTTATGTTTATGTTAGGTATGTGATGGAGGTGTCCACAGGTAGGGAAAGTCAGAGCAAGAGGGAGGTCAGCAAAAAAGTAAAGAAGGAGGTATTATAAACATTTCCTCAAACATAAAAAAGTTTCTATAAAGAAATAAGAATATTTAGCTAATACATGGGTCTTACCTGCAAATGCGCTAGAAAGATTAATGGAACTTGGATTCTGAAACTTGACATACTTATCTGTCCACCATGTAATTCCACTTCTTAGCATTGGGACTTTGATAGGTATAGATGAATTAAGGTTGTATGAAAGAATAATGGTATCTGTAAGGAAATTAAAAATTGTGCTAGAGATGCAAGCAAGCATTTTTGCCCCATTTCAAAGTACAAAACCAGACACAGCTGAAAAATAAACTATGGTTTTAGCAGACTCTCAACATGCCTACATGCAATAGATGTTGGAATTAGAAAACTATTCTTTTTCTTGCCAAGGCCCCAATTACTGGAAAATACTCTCAAGCTCCATTTAGCTCATGTTCCCTAACTACTTCAAATCTCTGGTAAGGGAGAAGTTATTTGCAAATGAAATACCATAAGTCAGTGGATAATGTATACACTTTTTTTTTTTTTTAACTGCTACTCAGTTGCAGAGGTGATCTTCCGGACATTTAGGTTATTACACGCTTATAAAAAGGCACACCATGGAGACAGGAAAAGTCACCTACCGTTGAATATGCTGTTGGCAATAGCACCACAAGGAGCGATGGGAGTCCCATCGTGGGACTTGCTAAATGGAGCACAGTTTCCAACATCCTGGAAGCAAGATGATACAGTAAAAAGAAATACTTTGGTAAACTCTCTTAGAATGTTAAAAGTGAGAACACGGGCAATGTAAATCAACCCACACTAATTTATTGACATATACCAAGATTATGGACTGCTACCTGTTTTTCCCAGACTTCTGGCTCACTTAGACTAGGAAATTTTTGTGTTTTGGAGATGTGTGTGTGTGTATGTGTGTGTGTGTGTGTGTAGTTTTTTTCCTTATTAACAATACATATTCACACCAAATATGTCTGCAGGAAGGAACTTACTTTGTGGGCTCTGCTAAATATCACACTAAGCCTATACTGGAATACACTATTAAAACTTTTTTTTTATTGAAGTGTAATTCATATTCTGAAAATGATACAAATGGTAGTGAGTCTATACCCTAGATGACTTATCACAGGGAATCCATCCACCTAACCACCAGAATATATTTTTAAAAGAGTGGTTGCTAGAAAAAATCACTTGATTATCACTTTCATATAATAATCTCAGTATGGAAAAAGTTTCCTTCTAGTTTTTTTGCTAGCATGCTGAGTATCATTTATCAAGAGTAAAATTTTATAATCCTAGGAGTGAAAGGGTGTTTAATTAAACCAAAGGCTTTTAATCAATCAAGTAGAGCTCAATTTCCTTAAACGTGGCTGGAGTGAAGGCCCGACTTACAGGAAGGGCAATGGTAGATATACAGGGAACTGGACTGAGACCACCCACTCAAGGTTACTATCAAAATGGTTGATGCATGAAAGGATAACCATTTAACTGGACAAGATTCATATTACTGTTCTGAAGAGGGAAATCACTCCTCTCAATAGCAGATATACTGAATACCCAGCCCCTTCAATTTATGCAAGAATGAAATGAGCATTCCTGCCTTATAAAACCTTAGGTTTTTTTTTTAAGCAATTTTATTTTATTTTTTTTCAAATACTTTTATTTATTTATTTGACAGAGAGAGAGACAGCAAGAGAGGGAACACAAGCAGGGAGAGTGGGAGAGGGAGAAGCAGGCTTCCCGCTGAGCAGGGAGCCTGATGTGGGGCTCGATCCCAGGACCCTGGGATCATGACCTGAACCAAAGGCAGACGCTTAACCGACTGAGTCACCCAGGTGCCCCCAAATCTTAGGTTTTTAGTTTATTTTCCCATAACCTCTTTTAGACTTAAAGATCCACCTCGTTTAAAAAAAAAAAAAAGAGTATTATACCAAATTAAATAAAGCCTTACCTTTAAGTCTGTACCCACAAGTTGGCTATTACTTCTGGATAGAATATAACGATAGAGATTCTGATAGAAGCCATACAATTTGTAGTACATATAAACATTACCCTGCAAAATGAGAAAAGCAAGAAGAGAGTAAGAAGAATTAACTGGAATATTAATAAACATGGACAGGATTTTTGTAATAAAAAGTACCACAGAAAGAATTGATAGGAACTGAAAGTTTCTTTAAATCAAACAGAAACCCAAGAAATCATTTTTAAAAATCAGTGTTGGAAAATCCTTGTCTACACAGAATTATTAAAATCACCAAATAAATTATTTTCAATGTTTTTGTAAGGGCTACTATGTTCCTGCCATGAAAAAATTTTAAAACCAGGTTTTGTATTCTCAATACATAAAATTGATGCTACAAATACTGTTATTTCCTAGCAATACCAGGAAAAATGCTTTGCCTCGGGGTTGTGGTAGGCATCAAAGTCAATGATTTCAAACCAAATCTTTGGACATATTTGAAGCTGGAGCCATCTGGGTGCATGTGAAAGGCATGAGATTAGCTCCTTGTGGTCTGGCTCCAGGGGTCTTTGTCTTTTTATCCCTAGAATCCAGCACAGAACCTGGCACACAGCACTTGCTCAAGAAATGGTGAACCGTTTGTTATGGACAAAAAAAGAGGGAATAGAATTCATAGATCTGAAAGAAAGATGATTTTTACCTTGGCAATAAGTTGCTTGTTGCCATGAGAGATGGTCCTTTTCATATATGCTATCCTATGAGGCTGCCTAATCATAGGCTACCATCATGCTTACCTTTATGATGACATACCAACATTCTCCAGGCAGACTTGATACAGATTTTACTAACAGCACATATGATGCAAATGGAAATGTGGCTATTTATAATTAATATACTACATACCTCCAAAAAAATGAAGGCCTGCATCCAAAAAGATGAAGGCCTTTATTAAGTGTTCCCCATGTTAGGTGCTATATTTGGTACTAGAAATACAAACGTATCCTTTTACAATCTCCTGATCAATTGATTTGCTTTTACTGTGAAAAAAAATGGCACTTTTGGGATGCCTGGGCTGCTCAGTGGTTAAGTATCTGCCTTCGGCTCAGGTCATGATCCCGGGGTCCTGGGATCGAGTCCACACAGGGCTCCTTGCTCGGCGGGGAGTCTGCTTCTCCCTCTGCCTGCAGCTCCCCCTGCTTGTGCTCTCTCTCTCTCTGACAAATAAATAAATAAATAAATAAATAAATAAAATCTTTAAAAAAAAAATGGCACTTTGGAAAGTCTTCTGGTCTCACCCTAAGCCCATGTAAGAGGATAAGTATGGAAAATGTGAACTGGTACTCAGGGCAGGCTGGAAATAAAAGTCATGGTAAGTGTGGCCATTTACAGAAAACAACAAAGTCTTAAGAACTTAGTCACTTGTAAGAGAAATGTCTGGAACACCAAGAAGGGGAGATGTTGGGTCGTGACAAAGAGGCAGGCCGCGACATCATAAACAGGGAGCATGGGTGTGAAGGCAAACAAGCCAGGCATAGTGGGAATGACTGATTACATTTCCTCACCCAACAAGGGAACTTCTATTGTTGACCCATAACTATAGAAAATATGAAACCCACGGAGTGGAATTTACCATACATTTTCTTGGAAGCTAAAAAGAGAGTTTTACTTACCCAAAGTGATACATTCACATAAATGACAAAATAAACAGGCAGAGAACGCTCACCACACCAGGGATAGAAGAGTTTTAATAACCTTTTTTCAGTAATTCTTTGTCCAAGATTTAGCTTAACAAGGGCTCCCAGATCATCATCTTTTTTATTGGTCCTAGAGGCACAAGGCACTTTATGGTGTTTCTTCTCTTTAAATTCAGTGGCACTCTGTGCAGGATTCCTGGTTTAAGGCAGTCTTGCGTGAACTCATTGCCTAGTGTGTGTAATGTGTGCTAACTGGTGAACTGAAGGCTCTGTGGTTACACTAGCTAGTTTGGTTGGATTTTTATGAGAAAGTCTTTGCCTGAAAGGAATGGTTAGCAGCTGGTAACATTTATTTGACTTTAAGGTTTCAAAGTACACAGACAGATGGAAACTGAAGCCCTTTAAGATTTTATCTTTTGGATTTTTTTCTTCAAAAATGTAAGTCCTCTGAGCCTCCAAGAAGGAAAGGACTCTGCTGCACCTTGATTTCAGACTTTTGACTTCCAGAAGTGTGACAGAATAGTTTTCTATTGTTTTAAGCGTCTTCACCTTCCTGCCAAAATTAAGCAACACTAACTTTCTTTTTCAATTGAAGTATAGTTGATACACAATATTACATTAGCTACAGGTGTACAACACAGTGATTTGACAAAGTCTAAACATTATGCTATGCTCACCACAAGTGTAGCTACCATCTGGGACCATACAGTGCTATAACAATACCATTGACTATATTCTCTATGATGTACCTTTTATCCCTGTGACTTATTCATTACATAACTGTAAGCCTGTATCTCCTCCCACTCCCCTTCACCCATTCTTCCCATGCCCCCCACCTCCTCCCCTCTGGCCATCACCAGCTTGTTCTCTGTGTTTATGAGTCTGTTTCTGCTTTTAAAGCAACACTAACACTAACTCAGCATGGTGAGTTGAGGAAGGCAAGAAAGGGCATACCTATAGAGAACTAGAATCTTGACCTATAAGAACACATACATAAAACCGCCCTCACTGACTTTATGTAGATATCACTTATAATCCAAGTACAATTTAGTAATTTCCTTATATTTTATATCTGACTTACTCACAAAATTGCTTAGCACGAGCCATAATCAATATGGATGTATTCAGAATATTACTAATGCCAACATGCTTTCATTTGGGATCAAGAGAGAAATAAGAAAGGGTCACATAAAACCAAAGCTTCCTAGAACATAAATTCATTTAACCTAGCAGTTTATCTTTCCTCCGTTCATTTAATCTTTCAACATTTTCTGAGCATCTACCACATAAATATACTGTGTTATGCACTGTGGAAGAAGCAAAGATTCATACGTTCATTCAACAAACATTAATTGAGCACCGACAGTGTGCTAGGCATTGTCATAGGTGCTTAGGACACAACAGTGAGAGGCGGACAATAAACAACACATATCATAGACTATTAATTTATATGGTATGTTAGAAGGTGATAAGTACTATGGAAAAAATTGAAATCTGAGCAGGTTAACAAGGATCAGGAGTATTACAAGAGTAGGGTGGGTAGACAGGTTGCAGTGTGAAATAAGACTGCCGGTGTAGGCCTTACTAAGGTGAGGGTTGAACCAAGACATGAAAGAGATAGGGCAGTTGGCCAAGTGAATATCAGGTACAGGGAGACAAGGCAAGAGAACGCCTGACTTGTTGAATGAGCGGGGAGTTAGTGTGGTGGGAATGGGGTTGGGGAAGAGAAGGAAGGGATTAGATCAGAGAGGAAATAAGAAGCCAAATCATGCAAAGCCTTGTAGGGACTTAAGCTTTTTCACTGAGTGGAAAGAGGAACCATTTTTTTTTTAATTTTTATTATTATTTTTTTTAAAGATTTTATTTATTTATTTGACAGAGAGAGACACAGCGAGAGAGGGAACACAAGCAGGGGGAGTGGGAGAGGGAGAAGCAGGCTTCCCGCGGAGCGGAGAGCCCGATGCGGGGCTCGATTCCAGGACCCTGGGACCATGACCCGAGCCGAAGGCAGACGCGCTTAGCGACTGAGCCACCCAGGCGCCCCAGGGATTTTTTTTTTCAAAGTTTATTTATTTATTTATTTATTTATTTATTTATTTATTAGTAATCTCTCCTCCCAATGTGGGGCTCAAACTCATGACCCTGAGATCAAGAGTTGCATGCTCTTCCAACTGAGCCAGCCGGGTGGCCCCACTGTAGGGATTTTTGAGTAAAGGAATAACATATGACTTTGGCTTTAAAAAGCTCACTCTGGGGGTGCCTGGGTGGCACAGTCGGTTGAGCAGCTGACTTGGTTTTGGCTCAGGTTGTGATCTCAGGGTCGTGAGACTGAGCCCTGTGTTGGGCTCTGTGCTCAGCACAGAGTCTGCTCGAGGTTTTCTCTCCCTCTGTCCCTCCCTCTCTCTCTCTCTCTTTCTCTCTCAAATAAATAAATCTTAAAAAAGAAAAACTCACTCTGGGTGCTATGTTGAGACATGGATATAAGTAGGGAGACCTGTTAGGAGGCTATTTCAGAAATCTAAGCATGGAGCTGGGTGGTAGCAGAAGAAGTGGGAGAAGTGGACAGACCCTGGATACATTTTGAAGAGAGAGCCAACAGGATGGATTGGATGTGAAGTGTGAGAGAATAAAAGGAGTCACAAATGACTCTTAGGCTTTCGGCCTGAGCACCAGAAAGATGGAGTTGCTTTCAACTGAGACTGAGAAGTCTTTGGATGGATTAGGTTTTTTGTGGGGGTGGGGGGTGGTACAGTGGATAAGGGGAGCAGTGGAAACCAGGAATTCAGTTTTGGAAATGTTGAGCTTCAGATATCTATTAGATATCCACATGGTGACAGTAGGAAGGCAGCTGGACATACAAGTGTGGATTTGGAAGAAATGTTTGGGCTACAGATATAAAATGGTGTTGGCAATAGATGGCATCTAAAGTTTGGAGGTAGTTGACATTTCTAAAAAAGTGAACGCAGTTAGAGAGGAGGCTAAAAATTAGGATTAAAGTGCTGCCTATCTCAACATAAGGAGTTCGGGGAAAACAGGAAGAGCAGCAAAGGAACTGAAGAAGGGCAACCAGGGGATTAGGAGGAAAACCAAGACAGTGTAATATCTTGAAAGCCAAGAGAAGAAAGTGTGTTGAGGATGAGGGAGTGGTCACCTGTGTCCAATGAGTGACAAGGCACTAAGGACTGACTGCTGAATTTATCATGTGGAAGTCATTGACTTCCTTGCAATTTCACTGAGTGTTAGGGGTAAAAACCTGATTGGAGTGGGTTTAAGAGAGAATGAGAAGAGAGGAACTGGAAGTAGCCAAGATAGACAACTCTTTTGAGTTTTCCTGCTAATGGGAGGTAAGAAATGGGCAAATAGCTGGCAGGGAAATTGGGAGAATAGAAGAGTGGTTTGTTTGTTTGAAGATAAGTGAAATAATATGTCTGTATGCTGGGAATGATTGAGTAGAAAAAAAGCTGATGATATAGGAGAGGCCAGAACTGCTGAGTTAAGTCCTTATAAAGGCAAGAAAAGATGGCATCTATGTACAAGTGGAGATAAGCCTGCAGATGGGAACAGGGACAGTTGACCTATGGTAAAGGGAGGGTGGGGGGAAGGTTGAGTGTGTAGTGCAGATACTTTGGAGTAGGTAGTTGTGGTGTAACGTGTAAAGCTTGTCCCTATCCTCAGGGAGTTTCCTCTAAGTAGAGGAAATGAGTCCACAGGATATTATTATACAAGTGATTACAATAAGTTCATTGGAAGAATGGAAACAGTGCTCCCAGGATACAAATGTGGGCAAACTGTTGCTGGAGAAAGGAGTGAAAAGGAAGCTCAAGGAATGTCTAGGCATGTTAGGGGTTTACAACAAGTGGCAGTGAGTGGGGAGACTTTCTAGGCAAACAACAGCAGAAACATAGAGAGTTGTATCGTGGGAAAGCAAGTTGGTCAGCTGTCCAGAATACAAGGTCTCCTTCCTCTATCTTTTTATGAAAAGGTTGCTAGGCCTCAGGTAGTTGAAGAGCAATCTGAAAGAGTGCTTTTTTGGGGGCGGGGAGGATGGTGAACTTATTTTGCAAATAACGGCTGGTTTAAAGTAGGGGAAGCCAAAGGCAGGAGTGCAGTTAGATAGCTCTGCTACTGGACCAGGAGGCCTGAACTGAGGCAATGCCAAAAAAATAATGAAGACGACAGGGTGGTTGGAGAGCTGGATTGAAGAATAGTGTCCACACATGAGAGGCTTAGATGAAAAAGCAGTTGGCAGGGTAAAGTCAAAGTAGAAAGTTTGGAGTCTTGGTGATGGGATATTTACTAGGAAGGGAAGTAAGGAGGGTTTTCCAGATGATGATGAGTCTAGTTTGGGACCAGCTGAGTTTGAGGTGGAAGCGGGGCCTTGAGGTGGGAAGCTCAAAGGGAATGCTCAATGGGAAGCTCAAGAGAAAGCCTGCCTATACTTAGATTCATCCCATGCAGAGTCATCTATGAAGCGGGGGGGGAGGGGGATCAACCAGGTCAGGGAGGAGGACACAGTGTGGGGAGAGGTGTGGAGTCTAGACGACAGGACAGGATCTTTGAGGAGTTAAAGGGAATAGTTTTTCATTTATTTGGTTAAGTCTTGACTACCAGGTAAGATTGTGGAGGCCCTGAAAAGGTGCCTCTTGGGTCTCCTACTACAGGGACAGTAACTGAGGGATGACCCCAGCTGTCATTGCTCTAAAATCATCCTGTGTTTGCATTAAAGCCATGCTGCTCCCAGCTGCTCCTAATGGCTGAGCACAGCAGGGATACTGAGGCAGACTCCTTCAGGGACTCTCTGTTGGCCTTGCTGAAACTTTCTAAAGAATACACTGCAGTCGTAGACTTTCTCCCTAACTTCCTCCCTTCCTTCTCCCCTTCCCTTTTCTTCACAGGGGTCAGAGCTGCATTGTGATCTGACAGTTCTCCCGGCCTCCTCTGGCCTTCTCCCCATTTTCCCTCACAGGCAGTTCCCCCAATAAATCTCTTGCATGTCTAATCCTGTCTTGGCTTCTGCTTCTCAGAGGACCTGGACTAACATGAGATTTTAATCAGTCCAAGAGCAGGGACTTCTTTTAATATTTCTTTTGCATTTCTCATAATGCCTGACAGCCAGGCCAAGAGTTGCCCTTAGGGATTAGGCAACTGCAAATGTAGAATGACTTGAGGGGGAGGGGTAAGGGGGGATGGGGGAGAGTCCCAGCAGGTGTGTGACTCCGGACACTAACCTTGTCCAAGTCACTTAACCTCTCAGCCCATTAATTTTCTCACTATAAAATGAGTGGTTAGATTCAATGATCTCTATGGTCTCCTCTTGTGTTGACATTTGGAATAAAACCTGTCTGATAGATATTAAGAATTATGTTACAAAGTTGGGTGGGTAAAGAGTCTGGAAACTTAGAAACAAAGGAGAAGAATAACATTCCAAAGGAAAAAACTAGGGGGAGAGTTGCGCATGAACTCAACACTTTGTAAGGTCCCTCACCAGTACTCTGCTTTATTTTTTGTATTTTCAGTTTTGGAAAGCTCGGTGGAAATCATGAACTTACTGCCAAGTGTGAAATAGGAGTAGATCAGTGTACAGCTAATTGAAGACTCTTGAATTTCACTTACCTGCATCGTCTCTGAAAGGTAAAAGGGAATAGAGCAGGTGCATTCTTTGTCAAAATTAGTGGCATCTTCTCGCAGTTTTGCACAATTTCCACAGATTTCTGTGTATTTAATCTGTCAGGCAGGGAAAAGAACAATTACTAATTAAAAATTACATGAGTTCATATTTTAAAAATCAAGGCCCGAGTCCACCTAAGTCTTCAAGCTCTCTGTGTCAAGGGCATGGACTCTGGGACATGAATGAAGGATAGTCCACTGTTGGGGACAAAGTGTTTCTGCAGATGCTTGGGAGGAGTGGGCCCTTTTACAGTCTTTCATTTTGGGACCTGGCAGTATTTTGCCACTGACCTGGAATTCAGTGTTTCTATTGTATATTTATGTAACCTGTTGTGATGTAGGCTTATGTCTCGATCATAAAGAGGTGTCATTAGGAAAGTATTAGGCAATGACTCACGAGAACTGGGCCTACTGCCTGAAGCTAATCAGCTTTATGGGGAGGTCACTTCAGTTTTTCCACTATTGTATGTAAAATGTTTATACTAATGAATTTTTCTACATGACATCTAGAGGAAGTTATTAAAAAGGACCAAACACAGAAAAAGAAGGGCTTCCAAAATATAGGGTTATTGATATATGTGGAATAATTCTGATTTTAAAATGTTATCATATTCTGTTTTTTAAAAGTTAAATTCTGTTTAAAATGGTATCGTGGACTCTTTAAAAAAGAGTGGTGTGTTTCAAATGAGCAAATCCTATGAGCTTTGGCTAAGAGCCTCAGTTATGTAAAGATAGAGCTGTTAGAAGCTTAAGGAAGGGGGGCTTACAGAGAGGCACAGAGGCTGTGCACTTCCCTTCTGCTCTTTCCTCACTGTGTTGAAGAATAATTAGAAGATTATGGGAATGGGGAAGAGCAGGAAAGCAAGGGAGTGGCCTTCTCCTTGGTAAACTGCCAACAGGATTCAGGAGGGAAGACTAACAAGAAAGACAGGATTTTTTTAATCCTTGCAAATCACTGGGAGTTTTGAAGCCAAAGAGGCAAAGTGTTAGTACTAAATTAAAGATTAGCTAAAAGGCTACTTAATTGTACTTAGATGCTTATATTTACTTAAATCATTCTTTATTTTATATATGTATGTATGTATGTGTTTTTAAATCATTCTTTAAATGCACAGCAAGACTTGAACTATTATTTTGGAAAATAGTGATGTGCTGTTTGTGAAACTGCATTCTAATTTTTAAAAAAGCTTTAAAGAACAGCCTTGTCTCATAACTGACAGCACACTGAACTGCAACTGAGGAAACTGGGGTTCAGTTCAGTCAATTTTTGACCTTGAGTTAAATACTTAAACTCAGGGCCCACATTTTGTTCATCACCATCATTTTGTCTAGCAATTAATTGATCTGTGAGCTTGAGGTAGTAGTATTCATTCTACTTCATGGATTCTTATCGGAGTTCTATTAATGCAGAATTAGAAAAAAATGTGTTTCATGATCAAATGATCTTTGAGTAGATGATATCTAAGGTGATTTCTAGTTCTAAAGTTTTATGAGCTAGCCAAATTATAAAAGCATCCCAAGTATCCATAGACTGATGAGTGGATAACTATAATGGAATATTAGTCAGCCATCAAAAAGAACGAAATCTTGCCATTTGCAAGATGTGGATGGAGCTAGAGATTATTTTTTCAAGATTTTACTTATTTATTTAAAAAGAGTGAGAGTGGGGGGAGGAGCAGAGGAAGAGGGAGAGAGAGAATCTCAAACAGATTCCACTGAGCTCAGAGCCTGACACAGGGCTTGATCTCACACCCCTGTGATCATGACCTGAGTCAGACACTTAACTGACTGAGCCACTCAGGCACCCCTGGAGTTAGAGAGTATTATGCTAACTGAACTAAGTCGGTCAGAGAAAGACAAATACCATATGATTTCACTCATAAGTAGAATTTAAGAAACAAAACAAATGTGCAAAGGAAAAAAAAAAGAGAAACAAAGAAAGACTTTTTTTTTTTTTAAAGATTTTATTTATCTGAGAGAGAGAGAATGAGAGACAGCATGAGAGGGAGGAGGGTCAGAGGGAGAAGCAGACTGCCCGATGAGCAGGGAGCCCGATGTGGGACTTGATCCCGGGACTCCAGGATCATGACCTGAGCCAAGGGCAGTTGCTCAACCAACTGAGCCACCCAGGCACCCAAAGAAATGGACTCTTAACTACAGAGAACAAACTGGTGGTTACTAGAGGGGGGAGGGCGGAGGGATGGGTGAAATAGGTGATTGAAGATGGAAAAAATAATGGCCTTGTAAACCTATAGCTCTAAAATGACAGCAAAGATCACAGTCTGCTTGCTCCTCATAGAATTTTGGAGAGGCAGGAATGATCATTTTTGCTTAAAGTCAACTGGAAAAAAGTCACTTCCTTGTTGTAGCCCAGGGCCAAGTGAGAAGAGGAAAATCACTTAGAACTCTTCTACTAGGTCTGTGCTTGATCACACTGGCCTGGGGTATGCACTTCATCTTATCACTCAATATAATGAAATACATCCATGTGCAAAAGAGAATCTCACTATCACAGTGGTTTCTGGGTTTCTTGTATACAAGAAAAATGTTAGAAATCGACCCATCCTAAGTGACTAGAAAAAAGGTCTATTGGAAAATCTCCTTAACATGATAAAAATCATTCTGTTGAAAGCTGTTTGCAGAGTGGCCTTAGTAAACCATGGAGTGAGGTTCCCTTCACATGCATGAGGTGACATCATTTAGCAATGGCTGCCTCTTACTGGAGGCTGCACTTCACAGTGAGTGAGGGTGGATAACCAGAAGGGAAGAAGCAAGGAAGACGTGGGAAAGGGGTTAAAACCAGAAAGAAAGGAGTTGGTGAAGAAGAAAATAGAAAAGTAAATAGGATGAGCTGTTTGTGGAAGTGAAACAACCTTGTAAGTCACTTATGCTATGCTTTTCAGTAAGGCAAGTTTAATTTTCTCCTGCCATTTTTCATCTGCTATTTGTGGGGCCTGGTCATTTATATCTCACACTGCAGGACTCAAAAGGACCTAGGGGCATTTAATTCCTGGGGAGATAAACTGCTGAGAGCTGGGAGCAGAAAATATAAGTAGAAAGGCATTAGAGTAGTGTGGTTTGGTAGGAGGCGTGGGACCTGAAATGATGTTTTCCTATTTAGAGTCCTCACTATTTGCCCTAATCCATTCTTTCACTAAGTTTGTGCCTATTATGTACTGGGCAACGTGCAAGGAAGGGGTTGTGGATGTGGTGAACAAGGCAACCATGGCTGAGCTCTCTGTTCTTATCAGACACTACCTTACCTACTTTATCATTAGCTCATTGAGGGCAGGAATCAACTCTTACTTATCTTACTCATTTGCAAACCCAACAGAACTCTTAGCACTTTCAGACACTCATGAATGTTAAGTCAATGTTGACAGACTTGGCCTTCATAACTTTGCTGCTAGCCATGTCAGGAGAGGTAATAGATCAGCTTTCCATGGCTACCTTCAGAGTGGAGGTCATAGACTGAGATGCCCAGTAATCTGCTCAGAGCTGATTTGAATTAAACATTTGCTTAATTTGTTAGACTGAATGCGAGCAAGGCTGATCTAACCTTAGGCCAACTCTTATGTCCCCTCCCCAGACCAGCTTCTCAGGTTCTCATCCTCTAACAGCTTGTTAATCAAGTTGGCAAAGGCTTGTAATGGAGCGAGGTATGCCCTTAGCTTCAGCTTTTCTCAGTCTTGAGTAGAATTTAGTTAATTTTGCTAAGTATCCTTAAGAGGCCAGAAAGATTCGGGTTCTTGCCTTTCCTCCATTAAAGTAATGATCTTGGAGTTCGTTAGCAAAGGGAAAGACAAAATGCTTGAAAGTGGGACAAAACTGAAGACCTCATTGTCTCTTTACTTTTTTATCCATATGATTCATGGGCATCTGGCAGTCATTTGACCCTGCCTCTCCTTCTCCTACCTCTATCAATCCTTGGTCAGTACTCCACCAGTTTAAAAAACTTCTGACTTTGCCATGTTCCTGGAAATGAATGGCTGAGTGGACCAGTGTGAGAGTGATTGTTCTCAAGAGGGAGTAGGGATGAATAAAGCCAACATACAGAGGCTGCCACCATCTGCACCGGTGACTGAAAAAGGGATGTTCTAGTCTCATCTATTGAGGGGCTGTGTTCTCAAACTGGTCACTCATTTATAGTCCCAAAGCTGAAAATTCTTAGAATCTGCATTAAAAATGTAAGATGGGACAAACCTCTATTTCCTTGATACTCTTTGCAGACAATATAAGGATGATGCCCACACCAAGGCAGAACACTCCTGTGGCAAAAAAGCCGGAGAGGACTCCGGTGGCTGAAAGCTGTAGCCGGTAGGCAGGCAATTGCTGCTGCTTCAAGGCAGTGTTGTCTGGCAATTTGCACCGGCTGTCCTTGGACGTCCTCTTCATTCTGGTCCTGCAGGTGACTGAGATACACTTCCAAGGCATTTATAACATTATTACTCCTAGTAATACTGCATAATGGTAGTGCTAAATTAAGAATTAGACGAACTTTCCTTTGTAGTTGCAGTCTACTTCCCAGAACTGTTCTTTAACTGAACCTGAGATTCAGCAGGAACACAGCTCTCTTCAGTCAGCCATTGGTATAGTTCACTTTAGGCTCAAAAAATGTGTGCTAAATGCCATGCCTAGGAGGAATAGTCCCAGCAGGGTCTGCACAGACCAGCATCTGGCCACATTGGGAAGCAGTTATCATGGGCTATTTCTGGGATGTGGTGACTAATTCAAGGCAAGCCCTTCCTGAAAGGGGGAAAATGGATTTATCTTTGAGAACTTGCCTAAAGCCTTGGAGAGTAATACAAAAAATAAAAGTTAGGGCTATCAGCTTTTTTCCAAACATGGCTGCTTCTAACATAAATATAAACTAAATTGGAAAAATGCTCTCAGATTACAGCTAACTTTGCTACTTGTGATAATAAGGAAGAGGGAAGCAAACAGGGATTGTGGAACACGGATGTCTAATCTCAGCAGCTGCCCATTTTTTCATCCATAAGAAAGACTCTAGTAGAAAATGTACATTAAAAACATCTCCTAAATTTTTTCCAAGCATGTGCTTTGGAGTAGCTCAAATGAGGCGAGAGAAAGGAAGAGCAAGATAGATAATCAATTAAATGTTCAATATTGCAATATGGTATTATTAGTTTGGTTTGGGGTTTCTCTCATTTATCAGAAATCCCCTAACATTTCAGTAGGCTGTTAATAATTACTTCCTTTTCTTTAAAATGTATTTAAGATATAGATTTAGGATTTAAAAAAATAGGCAAGTTTCTAATCTTCCTTTTTTATTAACATTTGGCAGAGAAGCCATGCTGGACTATTTTTATTTTTATTTCATTTTGTTTTTTTTAAGGGGGGGCAGAAAGAGAGGGAGAGAGAGAATCTTAAGCAGGTTCCACACCCAGCGTGGAGCCCGATGCAGGGCTCGATATCATAACCCTGAGATCATGACCTGGCCAAAATCAAGAGTCAGATGCTTAACTGACTGAGCCACCCAGGTGCCCCAGATTATTTTTATAGTAAAGAAGGCAATGACTTTGGCAGGTGTACCTAGTTTAAAAGCATACAAAATAAATGCCAATACTTACACTAGACGGTATCCAATTCAGAGTCAAAGTTTCCCACTTGCAAAGCTGGGAAAAGCAAATACCAGGGGGACATTTTCAGCACATCACTTGAATCTGGCTTGGAGACGGTGACGAGTATGGCTGCTGGTATCAGCCTTGTGTGAGAAGATGGTGGCGAACACTTCTAATTCACATAGACTATTTGTTTTACTCAATAAACATGGTCAAGAACTTGGGTTGAAAATGCGGCAACAGCCTACAAGATTAGATTACATGTGCATGGTTGGCCTACAAAATAATCAGGTATGTTTGCCACCTGGGAACTTGGTCCAACATTGGGTGGGATTATACTACATAGATAACACCTAGCAAAAGGGTCATTATAGTAACAAATCTGTAAGAACAGAATTTCTTAAGCTTTTTATAAAACAACAAAACCAAACTAACCAAAATCTCAAAGTAGAAGGAACTTTCATTTAGTATATTAGTCAGGGCTCTTCAGAGAAACAAAATTAATTGGATGAATGTAAAGAGATTTTATTAGAAGGAATTGGCTCACGTGGTTATGGAGGAGGCTGGCAAGTCCAAAATCTGCAGAGCTGATGTCTCGGTTTGAGTCTAAAGGCCAAAATGTGCTGTAAAATCAGGAAGAGCTGAGGTCCTAGTTTGAAGGCTATCAGACAGCAAGAGCCAATGTTTCAGTTGGAATCAGAATTCTCTCTTATTTGTGGGACGGGGGGAGGGAGCGGGGGAGGGGAGTGGTTTGTGGAGGGTGTGTGGGGGTGGGCAGTGTCAACCTTTTGTTCTATTTAGGCTTTCAACTGACAGGATGAGGCCCACCCAAATGAGGGAGGACAATCTGCTTTAAAGTCCACTCCTTTAAATGTTAACCTCATCCAAAAACACCCTCACAGAAACACTCAGAATAATATTTGCTCAACTATCAGGGCAACCTCTGGCCCAGTTAACCTGACACAAAATTAACCATCAGAGGTATTAAGGGAACACATTTCTGGGGCAACATTCCTGAGATAGCCAGATCTCACTTTACATTTTTATATTTACATATTTCTCTTCTAAATAAACCTACTTCAAGCGTACAGATATACTTCATATACTCTGCTTTTCAAGTTTCTAGAACTGGGTTTCCTTACCCTCAGTACTACTGATTAGTGTTTTGGGCCAGACACTTTTTTATTGTGGGGGCTGGCCTGTAGGATGGTAGAACGTTGAGCAGCATCCTTGGCTAAAGGATACTACCTACTAAATAACTGCCAGTCACAACTCCCCACTAGATGCTGGTAGTATCCTCCCCGTGTGACAACCAAACATATCTCCAGACACAGCAAATGGACCCTGGGGGACAAATTTGCCCCCGGTTGAAGATCCACAGTTCTAGATTGATATGGATATGACAATTTGCTAGCAGTTGTTATATTGTGGTATCATGAGAAATTTCAGAGAGTAATTTTTTAAGTGCTTGCTTTCATTTCTCTCTAATGCTGTGTAGATAGCTTCCCCAGGTATTACCAGACATTTTCTGTAAATCTGAGATTCTTTTAAAATAAAAAGGTACAAAATAATTAAGATAGTTGTAGTTATATTGTTATCTTTCATATATTTGCAAAGTGCCACATACACCTGCAACTCTTTCTATCACTACCACTGCACCCTTCACACTGGGACCAGGCTTCAGTTTAGGAGTCTGTTCCACAAGTACCATCACATGGAAGCCTCAACAATCCTAGGAGATATCATTCCCATCTTGTGGCTGATGAAACTGAGGCTCAGAGAGGGAAGTGGCCTGGCTAAGGTTGCCCAGATGCTCTTTTCGTTCTGCAAAGTCACATCAGAGACCAGTTGGTGAAAGAAAAATTCACTCTGCTCAACAAAAATCATACACAAGCTGGTGATACTTTATTATACAAAGAAGTTGGCAAAGGACAGCTTCATTTTTGTCAAAGAATCTCCACCAAAAATTTCTAGTGATTCATCTGGTGATGCAGTTAACGTAATACAACAACAGCTGATATTTACTGAGTCCTTGCAATATTCCAGAGCTATTAAATGAGATGCAAATCCCACCATAAAAACTGGAATTTTCATTAGGACCCAGACTTAGAAAAGGCCCAGCTTCAAAGATTCAGACTTGCATAGACTGAGGACTCCCATTTCCAGAAGTTCAAAAACCTCCTTTCTTATCTAAATGAGAAGAAGAAAAAAAAAAAAGGTTAAGATCAAGAAAAGATGGTCTTGGTGAATAAATTCAACTATCTGGACTTCCTGGTATTTGTGTAGCTGTTATGGCCAGAATCAGGGAGGGCAAAAATCCTAACCTATGTTTTATTCAGAACTGAAATATTTACTTAAGTAAAGGGATAGGTACTAAATAAAACATCCATTTCATTAAAGTGCCCTTTGTAACCATTCCAAATAAAGTCTCATAAAAAAATCTTATACAAAGGTGTTTCAAAATACCTAAAGTACAGCTATATTGCACACATATTTCAATATAGGATAGCTGATAATGATGACATCAACATAATACAAATAACCAGGTGACAAGGTTTTTTCTTTGACACAATTTCTCCTTATCATTATAATTAAAAAACTTACAGTGGATTACTCAGATTTCACATTATAACTGAAATAAATATGGACTTATGTGCCTAACATCAAATTTGTTGAACTGGTTTTAAAAAACCAGTCAGTTCAGGGCACAGGTGTGTGTGTGTGTGTGTGTGTGTGTGTGTAGGAAACTGAAAAAATTGTCTTTTAACCTGTACTGATGTCTGATTTAGCTCACTGACCAATCATAATCAGGTTGGTCATTCTGGGGATATAATTTTATGTGGTAAGTTAAATTATTCAGCATGTTTGGAGGATTAATTCTAAATCTCTTTGATAGTTACTGCCATGATTAATTAGGTTGGTGACTGGCAGCCATTTTTATTATTGGACAAACCTTCTTCTCTCCAACAGATACTTCTAAACATCGGGCTAGATTGAAAAATTAGCCCCATGATACACAGTAGGTGGCAAATCAATTTTTCACATTTTGATGATAATGGATTACTTTCATAAATACAGAATGAGCTAATGCTGTGGTCACAAAGGCAATCAATCAGTTTTAATCCACAGAGATATCAAAATAATTTCCCCACAAAAACAAAAACAAAATAGCCCTCTATATTAAATGAGGTTTTGGGTATGGGAGATGCAGGCCAGGAGGCAAGTTTGTGCCCCTACTTCCTCACACATTTGTAAGGATTAAAGACAAAGATGAATATGTCTCTAAAGCAAGGCACACAAAAATGTGCCAAGTCCTCCAGATCCTCCTGTTTCTCAAAGGTTTAGTATAGATATAGTGGTCCCCAGTGGGGCAGAGGTCATTGGTCATATAAGGAAGAAACAAAGCTGATTACTATAAAACACATGGAAAGGATACAGTTAGGTCTAAGGGAGTGAGATGGACTCTATAATTGCAGTTACTTCAGAGTTAAAAGATACAAATAATTTCAATGGCCAGAATGTGCTGGCTCCCCATGTCAAAGACTTTATTACTGTATTTGAACTCAAGTTCAAGTTGAAGAAAAAAAGATTAAAGGCAATTGCTGGTTACATGGTACCTCGGGAATGTCCATCATCCTTCTCAACTTCTGATCTCTCCAGTTCCAGTCAAAAACCAGAAACTTTAAGGGGTTCAAATTAAGGCCACCTGAAAGAAACACAGAGAGAGTTGCTACAGCAGACCTCATGACATAAGCTTACTCAAATGACTTTTTAGTCTCCTCGTTGCTTTTTGCCTCATTTGCTGTCCTCTCCCCCAGCAACTAATCTCTACACACTGAATGCAGCCAGCCCTTGCTTGATGGAAAACAAATGCAGCACTCTGAGATTGCTTTCCTTATAATCTTATCACTGATTCTGAGGGAAGCAGAGAAGCTGCTAAGCTTGTCAAGTGCTGGCAAAGAAACAATCCCAAACCTCCATTTCATGAAGCCCCAGAGGGTGAAGTCTCATTCCTGACAGGAATTTGATAGGATGGATCCTGCAGTCTGGGTAGTGGCCCTTCAGAGGAGTTGAGTCCAATGGAGTGTGAGTGACTATGAGGAGGTGAATGGACAGAAGGATGAGTCTGGGGTTCGGGGGTTAATTTTAGACATAAAAGGAAGTAAATATGAATAGGCTCTATTCAAAGTCTGTTATCATTTGAGAAGACTAGTAAACCACTTAAGGATTCCATTTCCACTGTCTTCCTATGTATCTAGACAATTATGGAATGTGGGGCTGGAGGGGACCTTAGGGATTGTCTGTTCCTCAGAGGTCTCAGAGTTGGGCACAGTTAGTTCTTCCCACTCCCCATGTTCTTTCCATTGCCCCAAGCTGTTTCATGTTACATGTGGAAGCATAACTGAAGCTTTCCTTTACTCTGCAGCACTTCCCCTCATCTTTTCTCTGTGATTATTTCAGTATTTCCCCTTTGGCCCAAAAGACTTTTCATTCTTCTTATAATTATAATGCCTCTTATTTATTTAAGGATTTTATTTATTTACTTATTTGAGAGAGAGAGAGCGAGCAAGCACCCGCATGCACTTGAGTGATGGGGAGGGGCACAGGCAGAGAGACAGACTCTCAAGCAGACTCTGCACTGAGTACGCTCTGACGGAGGGCTCAATCCCACGACCCTGAGATCATGACCTGAGCCAAAATCAAGAGTCAGACGTTTAACCAACTGAGTCACCCAGGGGCCCCTGTAATGCCTCTTATTTAAAATTCTCTCTGTGTAAAAAGCATTTGACAAAATACAGCATCCTTTCCTGATTAAAACTCTTCAGACTATAGGGATAGAGGGAACATTCCTCAAGTTCATAAAATCCATCTATGAAAAACCCACAGCGAATATCATCCTCAATGGGGAAAAGCTGAGAGCCTTTCCCTTAAGATCAGGAACACGTCAAGCATGCCCACTCTCACCACTATTGTTCAACATAGTACTAGAAGTCCTAGCAACAGCAATCAGACAACAAAAAGAAATAAAAGGTATTCAAATTGACAAAGAAGTCAAACTCTCTCTTTGTGGATGACATGATACTTTATGTGGAAAATCCAAAGACTCCACCCCCAAATTACTAGAACTCATACAGCAATTCAGTAATGTGGCAGGATACAAAACCAATGCACAGAAATCAGTTGCTTTCTTATACACTAACAATGCAACTATAGAAAGAGAAATTAGAGAAACGATTCCATTTACAATAGCACCAAAAACC